ATCTTCACCTTTTACAAAAATGATGATCACTGGTTTATTAAATATGGCTGAAGCTTCATCAATAATAGCACTAAGGTTTAGTTTCCTCTCTATGATTTTAAAAAATATATATATGTTTTTAATTTCTCTAGCAATGTGATCCACTACGTTTACAGCAGTTCGCATATTCAATCCTTTTTTTTCTTGCAGTTCGATCTCATCGTGTTACGATACCTATCCCTTGTGGCGCCATGAGATCATAGAAATTCTGTCTCTTCTGTGTTCTGATGCACACCCACTAATTCCTAGCTTTCTGGTTCCTCATTATGACATTGTAGATGACATGGAATCCTCCCATTAGTCTCTCTTTATAATGTCAGTCTATGTGGCGCTTCTTGATGATGAATACAAACTTGGTCCTCTGTAGAACATCATGGTCCTCTGTAACCAATCACAACCCCTGTAACCAATCACAACCCAGTATAGGGTAAATATAGTTCCTGGTTGTCCTTGTTCCCATGCCCTGCCGTGGTTCTTGCAATCTCAGAGTCTGTTTATACTGTGTATTGCATTTCCTGTTTTCTTACCTTGGCTTGTTTTACTATTCTAGCCCTCTGTTATCCTGACCCTGATCTGTCTATCATTTCTGTGTATCTCTGCTATCCTAGACCTCAACCGGTCTCTCGTTTATTCTCTGTCTCTTTACAGACATTTCATTTATCTGTCTCAGGCACTAGCCCATTTATTCTAAGGCCTGAAACGTGTTCCTTTACTGTTTCCTTTAGGTTTATGTGTTAGATCTTTATTCTAACTAGTCCAGTTCTTGTCTAATGAGCATTTGTATTCCTGACACATCTTCAATGTCAGAAAATGACCTGTTTCTTTTTGCTAAGCTGTAAACTGTATTGAAGACTTTACATGTCGAACTGATATCATTTTGGTTAACTCTATCAATGCACTGTGCAATTACATCATCAGAGCAACCTTTTCAGTTGTGCCACACATAAATGACGTACCTTTGATGAAACGTGCTTATTCACTTTTTTCTTAGAGAAGCTTGCTGGACAACTTCATTTTTTCCTGATGCTTGAATCAGGAAAAGCAGTTGTTCGATCATCTCTTGTATTTGAAGTGGACATTCCAACATCTCTTGGTGACAGACATTCTCTGGGATCTTTACTCTCGATTGCACCAGGAGCTGTTGGTTCTTCATCTGCCAATTGTATTGTTTTTCATCATTTCTTGGTGCTAGACATTCTCCGTGATCCTTACTCCTGATTGCAGATGAAGCTGCAGTTTTTCCACCCATGATTTGTATAGTTTTAGGAGTAGATATTTCATTTTCTGCTGGTGCTAGAATCTTTACTCCAAATGGAAGATATAGCTGCTGAAAAATTTGTTGAAAAAATTCATCTCTTTTTTGTGTAGTACTAGAAGTGGGTAGTTCATCATCTCTTGGAATTAGATGTTCACTAGGATCTTCAATCAAAATATCAGATCAATTTTTTTTTATACTGTAATAAAAGCTTCTGTTACTTCATTGTTAAAGGAGAGCCTGACAACATTTTCAATTTTCAAACAATTACTATTGTCTCTACTGCTAATACTAATACTATTAGTAATAATGTTTCAGTCTAATATAATGGTGTAATATAAATGGGAATGACATACCCGCAATTTTGACTTCTATGATCACTGAGAAGCACAGATGCTGTGTTCAGGAGAGATCCAAAATTCAAGACTAACTCAGACATGATCATCCAGACACACTCACCCACTCACACAGTCTTCGCCACACATTCACGCAGTCTCAGCCACATACTAACCCAGTCTAATTTTCAATTAGAAAATATATTCTTCACAACTTTCTTGATAAATGCAATACAAATGACTTATGATAGACTAGCTTTCAACAAAAAGATCAAACCACTAAATAAATTGTGTTAAAAACATAATTTAGGTGCCCCCCGCCCACACCTTCCCCCTTAAATAGTGCAAAAACTCATCTTTATTCCAGCGCCACGCGGGTTCGCTGGCGCTGGTTCCAGCCTTGACAAAGTGTCCTCTCCGTTAATTATTTTTTATAGGTGCCCCACCAAGGGGCACTTTATTAAAGTAGTGGGGGTCTTTTTTACAACAGTGAGCTGCCACACTGCCTGCTCACTGTTTAGTAGAGATGACCCTACTCGCAGCATGAAAATGCCGTTTTAAATTAAGGTTAAAATAGCCAAACTATGATTACAGTATAGTTGGAGAATTCTCCAAATCAGCAACTTTGCAAGTAAGCTTTCACGTATCTACATTTTGGTGTTCAGAGGATAAACCCCAAGTAAAAATTAGTGTAACAGTAATTTTCTTTACATCATCTGTGCAGATGGGAGAAGTCATTTACTCTCATATTCAGAAATGCTGAGAATCTACACTGTTGGAGTTTCCTGTACACTGAGTTTGAGAACCCACGGCTACGACATATGTTTGAGGATATAAAATATTCAGTGGGAAGAGATTCTAGTTACAAATAACTATTAATAGAACCAAAAAAAAAAAAGGAAAATATTAATTTAGGCGCAAAATCGCGGAAAATCAAGTGAAATGCTACAAGCACTTTGTTTGAAATGTTAATAATAAATCTAATTATCTCCAGAGGCTGTTGCTTGTCCATTAAATTGCTTCTGATCTGCGCACTGATGAGGAATATAACCATGAAGGATTAGTAAAATACAATTAGCATTACCATACTTTCTGCCAGTAATCAGCAGGGCAATATGGGGGCAAGCTACTCAGCCCTGGATACGTCACTGAATTAAATAATCCAGAAATATACGGAATTAATGTCAAGTTTGCATTTTATTTATAGGCAATTCTTACACATATTCAGAGATTAGTGCCAGGTGTGCAGATTTCCTTTAGAGCACTCAGTCAGGTCTCCATTTCTCTATCACAGCAGTTACGGAACATTAACTGTAGTTGCTGTGATTAATCCACTAGCATACAATTACTCCTCCAGCCAGCATTTGAAGGTCCTCTTTATTGTTTTATTCAACATCTGCCAATGGAGCTAAGGAAAAAGAGATTTTGTGGGCTAAATGTTGTTAACAGTGTATGCACTTATAACAGGTTGTGGTGCAAGGAGGTTCCCTGTCTCTGTGTCCCTGTACACCATTGGCTTATAACTGCAGTAAGCTACAAAAATGTCTGTAGTTCTAAGCCTACCTATTCAGTGGCACCATCTCTGCCCATCAAGTCTGTGTACGGCTTGCACATGCGTAGTGTCCTAATGTGAAGGAGTCTGAGTAGTAGTCATGGTCATGTGTGGAATTCCGATTGTTTGTTATTTATTATTTTGCATATTTTTTAATGCCTACCTGACACAATCTAATTAAAGGACATAAAAATCGATTGCGCTAACAGAAATGCCCTGACTAGCCCTGTAAGCTTGCGGTGATAAATTACTAATGAAATACATAATTTATCTCTATGATAAATGAAATATGGGTGGTTATACTGTGATTGAAGTGAACCTTTAATAACAGGCTCACTTTAATGTATTAGACCAGTGAAGTCCTGAGCTGTCATATCTGTAAGAATCCTATTAAAAAATCCAATTACCAAGCAAATTAATGACTATGTGGCTGTATAGAGCTACACTACACAAGCAGAATTCTCCTATGATAGAAGTAAAGGATAAAATATGGTCCATAAGGAGTTAAAGAATAGTGGTTAAAAATAAATATACCTTGACTTTATCAATTTTTTTTACATAAGTCACATGTTTCACATTATAAAAAAGAAAAACTAAAAGGGCTATGTGAATGATTCACAGCTGCGTAAAGGAACATAGCAAGCAACATTCACACTACAGCCTGTTGTAGTGATGATGGTGCCAGGAGGGTCCGGGTACCCTGCTAGAGTAAATATTCCAAAACAGTTTACAAACGATTTGACAAATTGCTTTTAGGTCAACTGAGCTAATCCCTAGCATGTGCAGAGCTGGCTCACTGGCTCACTGGCTGAGAGTGTCAGATGAGCTCTCTCAGAAAATAAGCTAACCTTTGCTTAACTCAATGGACCCCGGATAAGTTATCAAATGGTTTAACTACATACTGTGAGCTGTAGTGGTTATAATGTTTTGAGTGTTTCTTTAATAATGCATATGGTAGTATCAGAAGAAGAATGGGTAAATGTCAAACTATTTCAAGTGATTTAACATAGTGTAAAAATATATTTTTGTAGAAAAAGGATACATCAATAAAGAAAAGTAGTAGATGCATACCATAGTCTTCTAAGAGAGGTGGTAGACTGAAGACTAATGGAGACATGACTCACCTGAGATGGGGAAACAAATCAGCACTTTTACATTTGAATTAAATGGAGTAAATGGGTCAACAGGCTCCTATTTGCTGTCAAAATCTGTTTGTGATTTTTGCGACACTGATAAGACATGTAACTGTCCATGCTTCGTATGTGGGAATTAGTGGAATGGCCAGCATCAGAGTCCAATATTGCTAAGGTGCTATTTTACTATTTACCCATGCAAACATTTAACATTTCTCTATAGCTTTGACGTTTGAAAGATATAACTGCTCTGCAATGTGCTGCTGAGCCCTCTGGCAGTATAGATTTTAAGATGATCAACTAAAACAGATTAAGAGGGAAGACCTGTAATTTGTTGTTAGAGGAGAAACTAAGTGTGCTGTATAATTTGGCTGATCAGTATGTAAGAGTACTTAGTACAGGCGCTTGCTTGCATGCTTTCTATGATCTCTTACATACCTATCAAACCAAACTCAGTCTACCTGCAGGCAGGTAGTAAAAAAAATGCAAGATACCTGTTGGTGGTTTGAGGAGGGACAATAAAAAAATGTCAAGGCAAGTGGTATTTAAAAAGTAGGCAGTTCTCAATGGGAGTGTCTACAACAGTAGTGAAAGAATACATAAAACCTTTAAAAGCACATCTTGCTTCAGAAAGAGATAGAAACACAAGCAGTCCTGATATCAGAACTACAGCACAGGCGAAAGATATGAGCCTCAGTGAGTCAGACGTCTCAGAGGACGAGCAAGAGTTGGAAGAAGAGCATGACGATGAATGCAGTCAGTCAACAGAAAAACAAGAGAGTGGGAGTGAGGTGGAAGAGTCCAAGCCAAAGAAGAGGACCAGGCCTGTGAGGTCCAAAGCCAGAAGAGTAGCAGCCAATGTCAGAGAGCGAAAGAGAATTCTGGACTACAACCAGGCTTTCAACGCACTCAGGCGGGCACTGAAGCATGACTTGAGCGGCAAGAGGTTGTCCAAGATTGCAACCTTAAAGAGAGCCATCAACAGAATATCTACTCTCTCCATGTTCCTCCACTCCAACACCCAGCAGAAATGGTCATGCAGCCATATTGAGTGTCACCTTCAATGTGATGGAAACAGGCAGCTTGAAATGAAAGACAACTGTCCTCAAACGTCATACTTGATGCCAGGACAGAGCCATCAAACTGTATCTTCTAACTCTCCTTATGGAGATACCACCCGTCTTCAGCAGAGCCACTCTCCACCCTATTCTAGGCCTTCGCCAGAGACCCCTTATTACCAGTGCCAGTATAAAAGTCCAACACAGGATGATTTTATTCCAGATGCACCTTATTACACGCATGGGAGTTACAGTATTGGTATCCGGGGAAATTTCTATCAGAATCATGTTGAAAACTTTGCAGAAACATCTACTGGACACTTTCCATGGCAGTTTGGATGTCTACAAGGCCCTTCTTACCAGCATTCTCTCTCAATGCACTGACAGCCTCAACAATAAACAAGCTCTCAAGAATTTAAGACCTTGGACAGAGAAAGAGATTCCAGGACTTCAGATGTTGGGTGAAAATAGAATCACATCTAAATATGTTATGTCTTTTTTGTTTTGTACTAAATTAACCCAACATCAAGTGTATCTATGAAGAAATGTAACTCAGGGGTAAGAATATGTGAAATGTGACAACTGTCAAAGTTATTGAGCACAAGCAGCAAATAATTCATTTGCCGTACATTACTGGCAATGCAAGCACTGACATGATCAGCCTTCTTTTTTCTTTTTTTTCTTTTTAATGTTTAACATTTTTTTAGTTCCAGCGAATGCACATTTAAAACAATCTATGATTTTTTTTTTTTAAGTCCAACAAAAAAATTAATTTGAAAAATGTACAAAAGAAAACAGTATTATCAAAATAACTTTTGATGTTTAATTAAAGCAAAATTCTGGATAAATATTTAGTAGAGCAGACTTACAGACCATTAATAAAATTGTGCCGTGCTTCACCGCTTATAATGCATGCAAATATCTGCAATATACTTATCTTAAAACCTTTAATATCCTTTCACGTAATATAGCTTGCAGTTATTTTGACAGCCAAATAAGGAAAGTACGGGTAATTATGGGAATCATGGCTTGTGATGGTTTAAAGATAAACTTAAATTAATCATCAGAATGCGAGCAGGTCAAACGTGGGGTATACATCTGACACCAACAGGAAGACTCATGAGTCATGTAATATTTGCAGAATATGAGGAATTCAGATCCAGACTGTGTGACCCTGTGAGTAAACATTTTTGTCTTAAGATCTGAGCGTTTCCAAACTTATAAATTATTAGTGTTTATCGTAGAAATGTGAAATCCTTTCTTAAAGACTATTGCACACTGCTGTAATCAAAGTGTTAATAGACTAGCAAACAGCTTGGTAACTTCATAACTTGAAGATTTGCAAGTATCAACAGTTGTCTCATTTGCTGTAAAGCAAAGCTGTCAATCAATACTCAGCGTGTGGCTACATTGTACAGATACATAATTTCACAGGTTAGGTTGGTTAATATTGACAGTTTTAGGGTCAAGATCAGCGAACTTTTTCCGGAATATTCACTAACGTGTGAAAATTCTAAATTGATTCAAATTGTAGGCCAAAATGGCTAGAGAAATTTTCCAAAGGCTGTCCTAGATTTTTATAATCACGTTGAATATCTGGTGATTTAAATAAAGCAGAATTTAGTTTATCTGACTTAATATATTTTATTCTGGCTGCTGATTGGAGAATACATGCAGATAACTGCATTATACACTAAGCTAGGAATTGTGCAGAATTGACAAAAGAATTGCACATTTTAAAGCAAACATAATTTAACTGGAAATATATGACAATTCAGCTGTTTGTATCTGCATATGTATGTTTTAAATTCCCTAGTCAATTCTCTGTAAAAGCATATATCTAAACAAAATCACTGTTGCAGAAGTAACTTAGCTAAGGGTGGTAGGAATCACATTAACCTCACTTAGGGGACCTCGTCTTGCCCACACTTCTGAGATTTTAGAAAAACAAAGTGGCATTGCCATTTGAAAATTCCCACAATCCTACGCTCACAGGACACTATAGTCACTAAAACAATTTTAGCTTAATTAAGCAGTGTGTGTGTATAGATCATGCCTCTAAAGTCTCACTGCTCAGTTCTCTGCCATTTAGGCGTTAAATCACTTTTGTTTCTGTTTATGCAGCCCTAGCCACACCTCCCCTGTCTGTGACAGACACATGCTGCATGAAAACAAAATGGTTTCATTTTCAATCAGATGTTAACCTGCTTTATACATTTTTATCTCCTGCTCTGTAAATTGGATTTTAATCACATGCAGGTCTCCTAGTAGTACCCATATTTCAAAGTATTTTATACTATATGGATGTATTGAACCCCAATCCTCTCCCAATATCTGTTTCATCATATTATGTAAAGAATGGCATGTTTAGAAATATCTAGAAGCTCAAATGCAATAATAAATCATTGCAATTTCCACCATATGTTTTTAAATGTTAAAGTGCATTATGAGCTTTTTTATTATAAGGAACTGAATTAATGTGAAAAGCATTTTTTTTATGTGAAAATAAAGATTTTTTTTATTCTGTACATTCTGTGCTCTCATTATTTCTTTAAGAACGTCTTGGTGTCAGATTAATTAATTGTTGCATTTAATGTTTAGCCTGTTTGTATATAATGTATATAATGCTGTATGTTATAGGTTTAAGAATGAAAGACTGACCGAGGAATCGAATAAAACAACGGAAATCTACTTGCTCTCAGTCATTATAAAATTGATCATTTTGAAAAGTTCAACCAAGGGCATCACCATTTCATATATTTTCTTTCCTATGGTAGTGTCTTTCAACCAGTGTGCCATGTACACATTGACTTCAAGGCTGTAGTTACTTGAATGTAGTGTTTTTTTAGTAAGTGTTGAAAAAAAGACAAGTCAATTAGGCTAGAGGTATGCAGATCTCTCTAGTAAGTCTTAATGTAAATGTTACATTTATAAGTTACTAATGAAGGGAATGAGAAAATAAAGGAGGTACGTTTTTCAAGGTTTTGTCTCATTATAGTGTGCTTTGGTCTAAAAAAAGTTGTAAAGGAACAACTAGGTTATGAAAGGAACTCTATAGTGTTTGGAATACAAAAGTATATTCCTAACACTATAGCATCCCCCTGACTCTTCTACCTGACTAATAAAGGGTTAAAAAAAATCTCTTTACACTTACCTGACTCCATTTACACTTACCTGATTCACGTGACATGGATCATTCTCCTTCGACGTAAGCACGATCTCGGGAACCTAATGCTCATGTGCGGCAAGTGCCACACGTGCATTAGGCCTTCGACATAGGAAAGCATTGAGTCAATGTTTTCCTATGGGGATTTTAAGATGCAAAATGTGAGGACGTCCAGCGTCGTTTCACGGAATTCAACTCCCTGTTACTTAAGGAAGCGTCCTTAGTGGCTGCTCTACAGGCAGTCTTTTTTTTTCCAATCTTTATTAATGTTGTGCATGGAAATAACAAGAAGCTTGACAAGCCACAACAGCAATGACAAGCATAGTGAAAACAGGTAGTAGCATCATTGATATGGCATTTAGGTATACTGCACTTTTTTATATTATAGTAGTAGGAGAAATAGTCAGTGGTGAGACAAAACAAAATAGTATAAGAATCAGGCTTTACCGGCTGACTATATGAATAGCTTAAATGAAAGTAAACGGTAATGTAACATGCTAAACAGTTGATGTGTACCGCTTGGTGCTAAGAAAGAAAGGGTAGTAAAGGCTTATGTGTATCATGACTTGTCAGCACTGAGTGACAAGGATTGGGAATGTCCTGTGTCGAACTTCAGCCCATTCCACTAAGAGTCCCTCTCATAGCTAAGAATACTGCCAAGTCCCTCCACCTTGCGATCCATCAAGAGATGGCGACCTTCTCTAGCATGCAGTGTGAGGTATTGCTGCTCTCGCGACGGTCTGCGTGCCCAAGCTGTGAGGAGAGATAGAAATGTGGAGGATGTCAATTCCAACCATTCAGCTCAAAAATAATAACGGGATATATGTAGAAAGAGCAATTGAGGGGCCGAGTTCTAAGAGTTTAGCAATAACTATGGAATCAGATGGCATGTGATTTAGTGATTGTTTCACAACTGCTCCTCATACATAACTTCCATCAAAATCATTATAGGACTACCAAAGTCACCCAGGCCACAGAATTTTAAACATTTAAAACCAGCCGCACGTAAGAAAAGTGGGGGTGGGGCTAATCTACATCATGGGCAGAGCCAAACAGCAGGGGCAAAGCTAAACACAGCCTCCACCCGCTGCTTTTGCTGCTGCACTTTGAGGGGAAGCAGGAAGGAGTCCCTGCTTCTCCAACTTACAGACTCCAAAAGCTTCAATGGATCCACTCCTCCAGCCCATACTGTCTGAAAGTAAGAGAGAGAGAGAGAGAGAGAGAGTGTCTGTGTGTGTGTTGACTGTCTGCCTGGAACTGTGTGTGTGTATTGACTGTCTGCCTGTGACTGTGTGTGTGTGCGTGTGTAACTGTCTGCCTGTAACTGTGTGTGTGTGTGTATGTGAGACTGCCTGCCTGTAACTGTGTCTGTGTGACTGTCTGCCTGTGTGTGTTACTGCCTGTGACTCTGTGTGTGTTTGTATGTGCATGTGTGTGTAAGATTGTCTGCCTGTAACTGTGTGTGACTGTCTTCCTGTGACTGTGTGTATGTGTGACTGCCTGTAACTGTGTGTGTGTATGTGTGACTGTCTGCCTGTAGCTGTGTGTGTATGTGTGAATATCTAACTATAACTATGTGTGTGTGTAACTGTCTGCCTGTACTGTGTGTGTGTGTGTGTGTGTGTGTGTGTGGCTGCCTGCCTGTAACTCTGTGTGTGTGTGTGTGATTGTCTGCCTGTAACTGTGTGTGTGTGACTGTCTTCCTGTGACTGTGTGTTTGTGACTGTCTGCCAGTAATTGTGTGTGTGTGTGATTGCCTGTAACTGTGTGTGTGTTTGACAGTCTGCCTGTGACTGTGTGTGTGTGTATAACTGCCTGCCTGTAACTGTGTGTGTGTGTGACTGTCTGCCTGTAGTTTTTTGTGTGCGTGACTGTCTGCCTGTGACTGGCTGTATATGACAGTGTGCCTGTGACTGTCTGCATGTGACTATGTGTGTGTAACAGTGTGCCTGTTATTGGGGGATGCTGCCTGTAAGTGTGTGTGACTGTCTGCGCATGCGTGTGTGAGTGTGAGAGCTGGGGATTTGTGGAAGGAGGGTGCTGGGGTTTTGTAGCAGGACATGCGTTTTGTAGAATGGTGAGCAGGAGATGAGTTTTGTAGAACCGGGGCAGGACTGGGGTTTTGTAAAAGGGGGCAGGGCATGGGGTTTACACATTTATGCAATCTTGCGGTGTTTTTTTACATTTTAAAGTGTAGAGGGGTGCCAAACACAGGGTT